TAGAAAAATAAAACGTGCCGTATTTTTTTACAAGCCTAAATACAGCTATATTTATAGATATTCGTACACCTGAAACCATACGGGATTAATACGTATATAATATGTTTCAGACTGTGCAATTCGTACAAGGACAGTTTGTGAGCTCATATGACGCCACAATCGAAGACAGTTATCGCAAACACTTTACCGTTGATGGTGAGGACTGTCGGTTGGAAATTCTCGACACGGCCGGTACGGTTCGTGAACTGCTTTCATAACGTATATCTCTTTTTGCCCAGAACACAAAAGTGCTTTAGGAACAATTCAGCGGAATGCGAGATCTGTACGTCAGGAACGGTCAAGGATTCATCTTAGTCTACTCTATCAATGACCGGAACTCACTCAATGAACTTAAAGAAATTCACGATGTTATAGTGAAACTAAAACAGAGCGAAAACGTAAGTAACTAAAACATCTGCCTAGTTCCTGCTACAGCTCCTCCAGTTTAAGGTGCCTATGGTGCTTGTCGGGAATAAAACGGATTTAAGGAGAGTGATTCCGACCAGTATGGGCCGTGATATGAGCAAACAGTTTGGCTGTTCCTTCTATGAAACTAGCGCTAAGCTCAATGAAAACGTCGTAGAGGTTTGTTCTCCGAACTTTGCCTTGTTCTTTTTGGTCCAAATCCTTATTTGGTTGTTGCACAAGTTCTGTAACCAAAGAAATGTGTTTTCAGTGCAACCAATTTTCCGGCTAGACGTTCAGACCAATTGAGTCCAATTACGCTTCCCTTTTTTTACCTAAAAATTCTTCAGTTTGCGCAGTTTTTTCCAATCGCAGTTTAACATCCTCATCTCCTTAGATACGCTTGCAGCTAAAGTCACATTCTAGTCACTGCGCTCTAATGGAAGCTCTTGCAGCCCTTCAAAAACATATCCTGAATTATTTTATAGAAGTAAAATAAGAAATGCTTCATCACATCTAGAAATTGGTCAAGTACCAGAGATTTAGAGAGATAAAAATGGAAAAACTTTTTCCATTTTTTTCTCTCTAAATCAAGAGATAATGCCAAGGTGAATGGGTTTTGGGCAAGTACTATTCGATTCTTTAGATCTCTAGTCATAGTAGTAGATTATAGATCATCTTAACGATAATGAATATGATTGTTTTATTGCAGCTTTGTAAGGATAAAAAATGCTAAGAATTCTATACTTTTCTTGAGGAGTTGCTTTCCTACTAAAACATAGAGCTCGAATATTTTTTACAAAGCTCTTTTTTTCAACTGCGTCTCTCAATATTGGAAGTGATTAACGATATTCCGTCATTATCTCACAATGTGATACAGATCTCGTTCCATGCGTTGCGCACAAAGCGGCAAACATCTCGCTTTTTCGGAGGTTGACGTCGGTGATGCAATTCTCCAAAGCGTCCATTGCATGAGACATGCTTTGGTGAAATTCAATTTTTAAGTAAAACCAACTGAGGTTACTTCACCGCTATGCAGTCATTGTTACTGTCACAGTGCTTGGGTGTCTGGCGCAAAGTTTGACGAATGCTCCCAAATTCGGCAGGTAACGGCTACATTCAGCAGCCAACTAGAAGAACATGTTAAAAATTTTCATAATGTTTCGTTTTCTATGTCTCTGAGAAATCGCCTTTTTTAAAATTCCGGATTAGTGATTAATTGGGCACCTCTTGCTATTCTACATAAAAGAAGTGTAGATTACTTGTAATCAAAGAAGGTAAAAAAAGAAAATACTCATGCATAACCAATTACTGCAATTACCAACTAATTGCGGATATTGATTTTTGATATGGTCTTATTTTGCAAATGGATCTGGCTAAAGAGCGGCAAAAGTTCGAATAGAGTAAGAACCTTGTGAAAAAAAATTGAATAAGAGCAATAGTAAAGCTAATTGCGTCATCTTTTCAACCTATCAAGCAGAGCTCAACCTTTATCGTTATAGGTATCGCAGCTAAATAAAGCTTTCAAATTAATCCAGCTACTCTTGATTAAAATTAATATAAAAGCAATTTACCTATCCCTTTCGAATTAAATAGAACAACTAGTCTTCTCCCACATAATTCATG